CACTTTCATCATTACTCCGGCACATTCATCATTACTTTTTGGCACTGTTTCAAGACGCGGGGGCATTGTAGGGGCATAAAAACCCATATAAATTATCCTTTTTCCGGTAAAACAGGACTAAGCTTTAGGCAGACAAGGGACTTCAAGCAATTTCCATTTTTGCCGGAGTTCCTAATTCTCCTAGGTTTTGTGCTAGAGGATGCCTCCGTATCTTGCGATAGCGCCCTCTTTTTCGTAGCAATAATCGTTTGATCTCTTCCAGCCAGAGTTAATGTTGGCAACTATGGGGGTGGTCGGAGGAATGCGTAACCTTACAAGGACAGAGTCAAGCACCACACTTCCTATGGGAAATTAGACAATCCAGATCTTCAAAATGAGCATGAGCGGGGATAATTTTGAGCGTGTCGAAAATGCAAAGCAGAGCCAGCGATCGATTCGTAAGGCTGGTGTCAAAGTCCGCGATCCGTCCGCGAATCGCGCGAATCGCAAAAATGGCAAGTGCCTCGTTTGATGGACTTGACCCCAGTCTAATAGCAATTGACGGGGGAATTTTCTCGATCTGAGCAACCACGTCAGTTCTACTTGTGAGTTGCTTCTCGGTTAATTAAAATTGCCGCTATTAAAGGTCGAAGTTGAATATGTACGCTATAACCAAAGCGAGGTGCTACGATCATCGTTGACCCGCAAGTGGGGGCTGTTTGAATGCATGGTGTAACCTGTGGTGAACGGGCTCATTACTTAATCCCACTTTTTGTCATATGTGAGATTTGAAGCTGAAAAGCTAAACGAGAACCTTGCGAAGAAGTCGGAAGATCGACAACGTCGTTGAAGCAGGCACACCTCGATCGGGCCAGTCTTTCCAGTGAAAATGTTCTAGCGAGTGTTCTTGCTGAAAGAGCTTTTCGGTAGCAAATTTTGTTATTATTGGTGGAGCTGCCATTCATACTTCACGAGTTGAGTTAGGTATGTAAGTGCAGAAAAGAGAGTAGCGGGATAGAGAGTAGGAGCGTGCGACTGACAATTTTATAGACGCATCGATTGATCGCCGGAGGCGGTTATATTGCGAGTAGGATATAGCAGAGTAGGAATTGGGATTGTATCGTTAGAAAAGATAGTTGCGCGAACGATTAGATTCATGTTGGACGTTCGCTGAAGGACCCTGATTAAATGCGGGATTTCTTACTTACTGCGCTCCTGATGTCCTTCGCCTAATATTCTATCTCTGAGTCTGGAAACTAGGACGCGTCTACGGTATCGCTTTGGTGTACATACTAGATAGCAGTAACGAACTCACTCCGCTGGAATCGCACATGTCAATTTTTGTTAGATCCACGCTGTTCTCAATGGCGTCGGTCGAGACAAACTTGACTGTAAGTCCGCTGGGCAGCTTCATCTACAATTGAATCCAAAGCTGTTCATGGAGATAAAGCAGTCACTCTTCGAACTTGCCTGCCAATCTTAGATACTTTCTTTAAGAAACTAACTGTTAAAAAAAAAGGATGTTGAAAGTGTCTTGCTTTGTAAGAAAAACCAACATCGACGAATTTGAACCCGAATCACAGGACGAACGCCGTCTTTGTTATTTACAAGGGAGGTCTTTCAGGACATGGAGCGCTTTTCCAAAATGATTTCCTGCACTTTGTAGAGACTCATGCGAGGAACACAAAACCATGGTCCGTTTTTCCTGAACGCTTCTAGGAAGGTCAGAATAGTGGAGAAGAGATGGTCCAAAGTTCGATCCTCCGTGATGTCTAATTTTTGCAATTTATGTTGGCGCCTCCAAATTGTGTCCAAATGGCACCAGCGTCGATTAACATGTCATCCTCGTAATTTGGCGACAATTTGGAGGCTCCAACATGGATTGCAAAAATTTGTCACCACGGCGGATTGAACTTTGGACCATTTCTTCACCACTGTTTTGAGGTTCCCAGAAGTGTTCAGGAAAAATGGACCATAGTTTCATTCCTCGCATGAGCTTTACAACATGCAAGGAACTATTTTGGAAAAGCGCTCCATAACCTGAAGACTCTCCTTGTTAGATGGCACCCCTACACTTGTGAGAACCAATATTGGCAATGTCAGGGTCGATGGTGTCAGTAACGTCGGTGTCGTGAGATCGAGGAGTTTCCTCCCTTTTTGGTTTCTTTTCAATGCATCTGTGGAGTGTTCTCAATTCTATCCCAAATGTTACTTAAAGGCAGATGACACGATAAATTTTCGCCGATGTAAAATGCATATGTGATAAACGGCGCCCTTTGGAGTGAATTAAAGTGAACTTCGTAAAACCCGGTTAATGGGCCACCATTCTGCCCCTTAATTTATGCAATGGAAGAACCAGTCCCAAAAGGTTCACTTGGACGTATTAGTCCCAATAGGCGCGATCGCGCCATCGACGTTCATGCTTAGAATGATAGGGCATTAGATATGTGGGCAAAAAGAGGATGGACGTTCGGACTGAAATGCTCCCTCAAACGAAAAGCAAACGATAAGCATAGCGGCATCAGCATCCAGCGCTTCTCTGCCATCATTCAGCCATTGAGGGCGGGGTTTCTCAAGAAAGCGAGCGGCGATCACCACCACCGAGGCAGCTACGGGTGTGCCATCGGTCGCGGAATCCGCCCCTCATGGTTAGCGACTTAGCCTCCTTTTTAGTGGTTTCTCCTTCTGAAATATCCAGTTGATCGTACCATCAGTCTGCAAGGGGGAGGGGGGTAGCGGTTGAAGGAAGGGGCAGTGAGGACCACTTCTATTCATCCCTAATTGAACTGATGAGTTACGGTCGGAATCCTTACTGGTGTTTCCGCGCTGAGTGGCCAGTACTGCTCGCACTTCTGTTTACCGCATTCCATGATGTTGCAGAGCATTACAATGCTGCGGCACTTCTCCTGCCATATCATTCGCCAGAAGTCGTCAATGGTTTTGTCCATTGGTCCCTGAATATGGCCATGACCCTCTTTGGTTCGTCGGTCTACCTTGCAAATATCACGAGCACTTTGTCAGTGGAGCGCTATAGCAAGATGGCGGTACCCTATATGTCTACGGCTACGAGGGAAGGACTTCATGGGAAATGAGAATTTCTAACGCGTCCTGGAGTCTCTCCCCTCCTAAGGCTTGGTCTTAAAAGTGACCTTAAAATGTTTGATGTTGTTTCGAAGCGTTGCAGCCGCGATGTCCTCCGTCTTGCGATAGCGCCCTGGTATGTTTTTGATTGCTAAATCCTTGCTAAATCCAACTCCACCTGTGTACATATGAATTTTTTCGGCTTCTCCACACTAGACACCCAATTAGCGTTTATATAATCGCCCATTCCACCAGGCCATGTCAGTACCACTCTTGTACTGTCGACGCAAAAGACTTCTGAAGTGCTCTCTATCAGTTACCTATATCGATGCCGGAGTTTTAATTCATGCTGGGCTACCTCGATAGCGGTTCTTGTCTGGATTTGCATCCCACGCCGCCTTTGGCCGATTGCCAATTGACTGTGTGGCCATTTTGAGTTTCATAAATTCATCGGTTAATGCATTGACTCCATTGCAAGTAGTAGTTACAGGATCGTTGAGATACTGCAGGACTTGGTTCGTGGTTGCTTGTGGTTACGTTCGGGACGGGTGTCCCAAGAGGCCCGTCGCGCGGCGAAGGAAGAGACGCAGACGCGGCAAAGGACGAGTCGCAGCGCATACTGTAGCGGTTAGGCGTCAGGTTAAATAGAGTGTACCATACTACGTCTCATATCGCACAGCACGCGCTGCGACTCGTCCTTTGCCGCGTCTGCGTCTCTTCCTTCGCCGCGCGACGGGCCTCTTGGGGGACACCCTTCACAGTGGACATTGCGATTTGATGGGTCACGGTAAACAGTAAGTCTCGGAGGCGCGTGAGACAGCGTTCACAGTTGGCGATCGTACGTGCGGCTAGGCGAGTAGGCGATTAGGCGATTAATCTGAAGAAAAGGGATAGTATCGATTGGGCGATCAGGCGACTAGGCGATTAGGCTACTGGCCTACTCGCTTAATCGCTTACTCGCCTAATCGCCTAATCACCAATCGATACGTACACCGTCTTTTTGAATCATCGCCTACTCGCACCTACGACCGCCAACTCTGAACGCTGCTTTGGGCACGACGTATATTCGATAGACGATCAGGCGATGATTTAAAAGGAAAAGTGTACGTATCGATCAGGCGGTTGGGCGACCGCTCAGTGAAGCATACCAATCGACACTCATGCAGTCTTACTCGCCTAATCACTCATTCGATACCTATCATTTTCTCACCTAATCGCTTAACCGTCTAATCATCTAATCGCATTCACGATCGCGAAGTATGACCGCTGCCTTACGCTACACAGAGTCCCACCTCAAAGTTCATCATGGTCGTAAAAGTGAGCGGCATCCTATCGTGACCCACAAACTCAAGGAGTCCCACCTGACTAAGTTTACCCCAGACTTTACTTTTCGTGCAGGACCGATGTGGTGCTCACCTTCAGTGTTCGATCACAGAACATTTTAAACGCCTCTTTGAATAAAGCCTGATCTGTTTGCGTTCGAGCTGTAGGTCGCCTCGACTTCCGCCTTGGTTTCCGTTCAACCTGTGTGCCATCGTCCTCAACCGTTGTCACTGCAAGAATGTGCCGGAGTTATTTTACCGGTACACATTTAGTTGGAAAGGGCTAACTTGTTATTGTGGTGCTGCTAGTGCTGGGCCTTCGGCGAAACTTTGGTACCTTCCCAAGCTTTGTGCGTTCCATTTCATCTGAAATGTCTTGAATTAAGGGAAAAGATGGGCGACTGGGATGGTTTTTGCGACTAACGTATTTCGAACAGGCTGCCCTCCAAACCAATGTAAAGAAATGAGACTTACTGCCATTATCCTCCCAACAAAAACAAATCGCTCTGATGTAGGCTCGGCTGATTCCGTTAATGATAGCAATCCATTCTAGTAAACAAGATATTGGATGCTTGTGGAATAGGATGCGGAGTTATGGAGGGTTCATAGTTGGCGATCGTACGTGCGATTAGGCGATTAGGCGATGATTCAAAATGAAAGTATACGTATCGATTAGGCGATTAGGCGAGTAGGCGATGCAAGAAGGATACGTATTGATTTGTTGCTCCGCCCATTGAGCGATCGCCTAATCGCCTAATCGCCTAATCTATACGTATATTTTTCATTATAAGACTAATCGCCTAATCGCCGCTCGCGCAACTATGAACGCTAAATTCCATTAGCACGTTTCGTTTCAGTAGGAATAATTCTTCGACCCTTCCAAGATTGAACTTTTTATCAGGCTTACGTTTCAGTTTCTTCGCCTCCGTTAGAGCCTGAAATGATCTTCAAAAGCATACAGTAGCGGTCAAAAGTTCGCCGAAACGGTTTTTCGTGCTTCTATTTTTTTTGCCAGAAAAATCAATGGTGGCCTCAAAATTTTTTCTTTGAATATCCTGATTCTTTAAGACTTGAGGATATAAAAACACTAGAAAACATAGTATATCAATCTTTGGAGGGCGTTGCTCAAGCGAGAAAAATAATGCACTAAAAATCGTTTCGGCGAACACTTTTGACCGCTACTGTATGTTACTTGCCCGCTCAAAAGCCTCGGCAAGTAACCCAAGGCTCTTTCACTAGATTAATAAACAAAGGTATTGATCGATAGAGGTACGGTACTGCTTTCCTAAACTCCGCCGCTGAGACAGAGGACGACCACCTTCGTACAAACTTCAGTATGAGGTAAGTAGTAGTACCTCCCACCGACCTCCTAGTGGATCGTCTCGTTTTCTTCGTGTCCAGGACGAATGGTATGGGTTTTTTACAATGAAGGGCCTTTTTGCCTTTGCTGACCAAAGCCCGTTTTCTATGACGCACTGTTCACGATCTTTATACCTACCAAATTTGGAGCGCATCCTCTGTGGAAAGTTTCGGAGGGTTATGCGATTTATATCGAAAATTTCATGAACGAGAGAGCCTAACTGTAATAGGGATGCCTAGCAAATCTCCGTCTCCATAGAAGGGCTCTCAAGAATGTGATTGTAGGAACTGCTCAAGCAGAAGTAATCGAAATACAATAATCATGGCGAGATTGATGGATTGTCGGTCGTGGACTAGGGTTATAACTCATGGTCAGCTCATCAGGGAAAGACCCTACACTGCTGCATGTGTTTTTGGACGCTGATCTCGAATCTGCTTTCCAAATCTGCCAAACGATTTTCTGAACGGAGTTATGAAGCAAAATAGTGCAGTGGTAGTGTCCGGGCTCACGTGCGAGAGGTCGTAGGATCGATTCCCTGACAAGTTCTCCCTTTTGCCTTCGTGGCAAATGGTTGAAGAAGGCTCCCAACTACGTTACTCGATCAATGCTTGCCTGTAGTTACCCGTGCAAAGACTTTGCGAGGAGTTTCTAATCAGTTTGGGGCTACTTACTAAGACTGCACATGGAGCCCACAGAACTCTTGGCAGACGTTTTTGCAGCAAACAAGTGTGATATTCGTGTTCCGGAGATAAAAATACCTCTATGCAATTTCGTAGCCAGATCATCCTTCAGAGAATCGATCTACATGAGCTCTCGCCCATGAGTCGGCGGATCACTACCCACTGCTCTACTTTGCTTCAATATACTCCATTCAAGAAAATCGATTGGCAGATTTGGAAAACAGGTTCGAGATTAACATCCAAAAACACATTCAGCAGCGCAGGCCTGATTACATATGGCCACTTCGACCCATCATTCTTTCCTGGTCATATGGAAGGCAATTTGTTCAGCTCTTCTTTTTACACTAATTCTCAGAATGGCACGTTAACACGTTGACACGCCCCTTATGCGTGTACCTTGGCAACTTTTTGTTTATTTTTTTCACAATCGTCATAACTTCTTCAATAATTCCACTACTGGTAATTGACTCACAGTTTTTCGGATAAGATGACGCATGCACACAATTTCGAAATGAAAAAGGCCAAATAAACCAAATAAAACTAGCCAGAATCGGGTGAAATTCTGACGCGCATGCGCGTCATGCTGTCGTCAACGTGTTAATGTTTGTGACAAGTGGATGCTAATCTGGCTTGTTGTAGGTTCGGTTGTGGAGACAGCTGAATTTGGCTTCAATGGCAAGTCATTTGACCGTCGAGGCGAGGATCTCTTGAAACAGTGGGTATCTCGAAGTGGGGACGGACGAGTTGTCATGGCCATTGGGAATGGGAAGGCGTCGTTCGAAACACAGGTGGCTGTCGCTGGCATGATCCGCAGTGGTAAATTCATGCCGAAGGATGTGAGATTCTGGTTGGTTGATGGCCTCACATTTTCACCTACTCAATACTACACTGGTGTGCAAAACTTAAGGACGGAAGTAACTTTCACATGATATCTCACTGCTAGTTAACCTAGGTGGACCAAATTTGGCACATATATAGAAGTAAATGTTGCGGTACAGTGCAGAGAGTTACTAACAGAAAAGCGCAAAGGGGCGATTGGAAAAGACATTTTTCTGCAAATACCCTGTCTGAAGCGGTCGATAGGTGAGGCTTCTCCAACTCATGGTAGACACTCAAAAGAGAGGAGCTAGTTCTTGATGGGGTGTATGAACACTACGGACTGCAAGGTATGCTCTGCTACGTGTTCCCATACAGGCCGTAAGATTAGTTAAGAGTTCTTGAGGAGAAGTGACCGATTCCTTGGAGACCGCGATTGACAACTGCAGGACTATTGTTGGCACATGGTCATGTGCTACAATAGCTCATCTGAATCCACGCCACACGTGCTCCATAGAATTAGACTGGAGGAAATAAATGGCTTCACCAATTACCGAAAATCCTCACTTTTCAAGAGTTTTCCACCCAGGCTGCTCGATACTCTCGCACACTGCCCTCCATACGATTGAAGCTGAGGGCAAGGGAACCCTTGGAAAGATGCACATGACAGAAGGGTACAACACCACAATCACGTTGATCAGAAAGTGTAACGCGATCATGAGTTGGGGATCAGTACGCCCCGACAACTTTATGCCTCCCCACATCATGTCGCATGCACTACCAAAACAATCATGTTAAACGATGGTCCTGGGTAGATTACACGTTCCTATTTTCCCCATATGCAGGTAAGTCCAGAATCACTACTCACATTCAGTTTGCTCTTGACCGGGAAGAATACGCGATTTTTCAATTCGGTGGTCCATCTCCAATGTCTCGGCTCGTACCAAATGTCCCAGCCGAGGCGTGGATTTCAAATGAATACAGGTATTGTTGATCGATGAGAGAGATCACTCCTAGGCGGTCACTGCGCCACTGTCCGGACTGGGATTACATGCCTTACAATCCTGATAAATGTTTTTGCAACTGCAGCATGTGACTGACGTGGGTCCATTTTTGCCTGTAGCAAAACCTAGCAATCACCTGCTGCTGCGGTTGTTCGTGACCCACAACCTCCTCTTCTTGGGACAGCAGTGGCTGCGGTCCACATTGCTTCTCATGCACAAAAAACAATGCTGTGGTTGACACAAAACTCCTGGACACAACTTCCTTTTTTCAGTTTCCCAATGATTCTTCCTCGCGTAAAGTCACCCTAGTGTTGTCTCTGAGACTTGATGTAATCAAGAACACCACTACATTCCACAGTCACTTCTCCCTGCTTAGTTCACCCCTCTTGTCCTGCCCCACGATACCCATCGTTCTGGGTGGCCACCCCATTTAGGCTCCAGATTGAAGCCGGATGCAAGACATATGAGGCCCACTTCGGTGCCCATGACTGTAGGGCTTCTAGCATTATGCCCGTACAGTTTCATCCAATTCCATCTAATTGTTTAATAAGTTAGGACAATTTATCTATCTGGTCCTTAAGTTTTGCACACCAGTGTAACTACCAATAACATATGGAGAAGAAAAATGAGTACTTATAGTACTGTACCTGAAAATGGCGCATCAAAGTACAGCATAACTCCGTTGGCGGAACAGGATCTGCCAGATATGCCACCAACTCAGAGAAGTGCAGGTGAGTTCCTCCTCGAGATGATAACGTCGTTTATTTCTGGACGTGTTTCGATTTCGGATTACCCCTAGTTTCAATTGGACGTCGTCTTATTGACCCGATGGCTGAGTATGTGAAGATCGATCCTAAACATCTTGGTATGGGCATGTACCAGGTGAGTTAATCACTTTTGATGGCGATCTTCCAGTAAGGAAGGACGGCTGTTCGTGTGAGCTGCTCTGTTCTCAGTTTTGCTCAGAGTTTTTGAAGTTAGTAACTGGCGCTGAAATTTACGGCATTTGTGGTATTTGTATGTTGCACGGGTTTTGGTGTGGATGGTACGAAGAAGGGACGTTTGGAGCCAGATGATCGTTTCCATCCCTCTAGAATTAAGCCTTGAGGGAGGAGGGGGTGGAACGCGGGGCCATGAGGACAAAGGGTTCCGGAGTCTACTCTCCCTCATCCCTCCCCCCTAGCTTGTTTTCATCCTTTGCGACGGCATGGATGTGCAGAAGACACGAAATGCGTGGCAAATGCGGAAAGCAAGCTCTCTGGGTAGAGAGCGGTTTAGCAGGCAGTGAGAGGCTTCTTCAACAAAGCCCTAGCATGACTGAAAAAAAACTGAACTAACTGAAGCTCTACACATTTTCCTCACTCTCCACGCATTCCACACTTTCCACGCATTCCGCACATTCTACATATGCCGGCGTAAAATATCAAGGCAGCCCTAGATTTAGTCCCAAAGGTCTCAATAAAAGAAAGGTCTTCTGTGGTCTCGAAAGCAGTGGGCGCTTAGCATCGTAGTATCCCCTCACCCCCTCCCCCCACCTCCACTCCCTCCCTTACTGGTAGAACTCTTTTTGTTTTTTCTGCTGTTTGCGATTCCTCGATGCTCACAACCCTATTTAGCACTCCGTGAATGCGAAAAGGCTGTCAGAGGCGTTGGAGCTGGTCGTGAGAGAATGCGTGTCGCTGCGAGGTGTAGATGTGAACGTGGCGTCCGTGCAACTTCTAGAGTGAGTCTCACATTTTTGCTTTCTTTGTGAAGTCTTAAAAAGGAAATGTTTTCAATAGGAAAGTGTGCGGCTTGAATAAGAAGACCGCGGCCGGTTTAGTGGCTCTCCGAGAGAAAATGGGACGAATTCAGTCTCGTGAAGACATCAAGAGTGTGAAAGGTCTTGGTGCGAAGTCATTCGAGCAGTGTGCAGGTGACGACTTTTATTTTTTTTTGTTTTTGGTCTGAATTCCTACGCGATCTTGCGATCGATTTTTATTTTTATTGAGTACGTTGTCGGGTTTTAATAACTCTCTAGTGATGTAGTGTTCCTCTTTTTAGGCAATGGGTGTTTCGATCGCCTTAATTTCGATCTCTCAAAATATAATAATTTACTAATTTTTAGGTTCGCAGTGTAATACATAGTGCCCTTTCGGGGCGCTATCGCAACATAGTGGGCATCCTCTAGGGCTGAAGATTATCTTGTTAGGATTTGCGAATGAAAATGAAGTCGGTTAAATGTTAATCGTAAAAAGGCTCACGCCCCTATGGGTCTGTCCTCTCCTGCCTAGCAGCTTGATCCGGCTTTTTTAACGACCAAGGGATACGTTTTAGCACGGGGTCTTAAGATTCATCGCCAACAGACATGTGGCTCCTGTGTCTTGCGATAGCATCCCCATTCAGATTTTCTGATTAAGTTTCCCGCTTTTTTGAGACAAAAAGTGGTGTAGTTGTCAAAAGTTGCGCTGCCTAACCCCCAGCCACGTCGTGGAATAAATATCCTGAACTTGTGCTCCATCAGGCCAACCATGCTGTTTTCCATTATATCTGCTGTAGAGTACCGGATATGTTCGGAAGATAAAGATGACTGGTTTGAACAATCGGCCGATCCCCATAGGCCAAACTGCATTCATATTGCCCTCACGATTTTGAATGGATTTGAGATGCATGGCGAACCCAAAAAAATTATTGATCAATACAGTTACCTTTTAATCCACTTCTTTACTTTCTTTTTGGTACTTGCTTTCTGTCAGATTCCATTCTTTCTTTCTTTTACCATGATGGTGGTTGGCGTTTCCAAGCGAACAAAGCTAGCTGCCATGCAGTCCCCCACGTTCAGGATTCCTCACTGTGAATATTGACTGTGAAAATGGTTCGAATGGACCTGTGAAGAAAAAGAAAAAGATGTCAATCGAGCCGCTGGACAAAACGATAGTGCATCCCTCACAATACAACTCAGCGAGAAGGTAACTATAGCAGGAAATAAGAATAGCAATTTTTGGTTTGTTAGAGCGCTCTTTTTTGGTGAGAACGAAGGGCTGTCTTGATTATAAAGTGATGATCTGTGTTTAGTTTTGCTCTCCAAGCTGTTGTATGTCACCAGTCGGCATCTTCCACCTTCCGTGGTCCTTGCAGCAGAACCACCTTCGAAAATCCTATCCCAATCTGCACAAGAGAAGAAGCTGGCCGGTGCGTGATCTCTCTGTGCACTGATTGAAGACACTAGCCGCCTCCCGATCTTTGTGGTAGTGGATTTTTTAAAATTGAGAATCTTTGCAGCCACATCGCTGCAATTGACATCACAGTGTTAAACACGTTGACTAACTAGCATCGACGCGGCAGGCGCCGAGACTTTCATTGGATTGGACAGCTCGTTCTGGTCTATTTATTTGGCAATTTCCGTGTTCCAAAACTATCCGAATGCATCATCGTGTCCGGAAAGCAGTGCACCAATTACCAGTGGTAGAATTATTGAGAGATTGATTTCTATTTTCGAAATAATGAAGAAAAAATCGCCCGATATGCGCTGACAACGGGCCGACAGCAACGTGTTGAAGCTCATCAAGTTTATTATTACCAACTCTGTTTTACGCTAGGAAATGAGTGCATCCTTCCGAAATTTTTCCCCATGGAAAATTCATAAGCTAACCCTCGTCGTCAGCGATAAGAATAGTCGCTGCCAAGGGTTTGAAATACCCCTCGTCTGCTTTTTTAGACTTCACTATGACTTTTCAATTTGTTTAGGGCTGTGAAGAAATGTCACTGTATTTTAAATATCGCTTTTTTTCAGACGGATGTTCGCAAGATTGGTTCACTAAAGGTGGGCGAAGAAGTGTTGGGAAGGGTGGCCAACCAGGTCGATTTTGGGCTCTTTGTAGACATTGGAGCAGAGAGAGCGCGCTGGCTCATCGCAGCACACTCCGCCAACCTTATCCAGAGGTAATGTTATTAAACACTCCTTTCTAATTATTTTGGGCTCAGTTAAGAAAATGAGGGAAATTGGAAAGCAGTATTACAAATACTTAGCGCTAGTACCACAAATTGGTAAAGGCCTGAGAATTATTTTGTGTATCACCCCCGCCCCCCCCTCAAGGACTGGACCACTTCGCGCGGACAAAGATGAGTCGCGCGCGTACTATAGGAATTTCGCGTCAAAGTTAATAGAGTGTCCCACTGCACGTCCTACATCGCACACCACGCGCTGCAACTCGTCCGCCGACTCTGCCTTCTTGCCGCGCGACGGGCCCTTCTGGGGAGTACCCGAAATTATCCATTGGGGAACTCGATTTTGAGTGAAAATTGTCCGGGAGGTCTTCCAGGTCACAAAGGAACCTCTAGATAAGGTCGTGACCCGCGTTTTTTTTTTCGGGGTCTCGGTTGATGTAGCGACACTTGCATGGAGCACAGAACTATGGTTATTTTTTAGAGCCTCTCTCTGAATGCCAGAAAAGGGGTTTAGAAAAGCTCAAGACACAACCCATCCTTTTGAAACACTCAGTTTCGTTGACGAGACATGCTCTCGTGGGTTGCTGCTATGTATTTTATGGTAATGTCTGAATCCGCTAGCTATTCGCGTGGTAAGCCATTTTGTCGACATCGCGCAAACGTGATTCGAAATGCAAAACTTTGTCGCCAGGGAGGATCGAACCTTTTTTGTCCTCAAAAGGACCGCTCAAAACAAATGAAGGCGTAGTCCCATGTTCCATGCACGTGTCCTTACAAGATACTATGAAAAAAATTGTTGTGAAAAAACGGGGCACGACCTTGAAGACCTTCTTGGTTAGTACACTGCAACTAGTGATCACATATGAGGGAGTCATGCGGAGAAGGGACTAAAAACATCTTCGGGCACGGTTCCCCAGATCTTTTTCCTATTTCACAGCTCCTTGTCTTGAGTGTTGGATAGAACAGTCACCTACAGCTTGTTCGACTTCAACTGCGTGGCTTTTTATATTACCATTCCTTCTATGCTTACCACTGCAATGGGGCACGCCCATTTAATAAACTGGCTAACCATGGGGCGCCCCCAGAGGCCCGTCGCGCGGCAAGAAGGCAAAGTCAGCGGACGAGTCGCGCGCGTACTATAGGGATTTCGCGTCAAGTTAAATAGAGTGTCCCACTGCACGTCCTACATCGCACACCACGCGCTGCAACTCGTCCGCCGACTCTGCCTTCTTGCCCGCGCTATGGGCGCGTAATGGGCCTCCTGGGGAGTACCCGCTAACCATGTGACTTTGAAAAACTTCCCACTTTCCGTTTTTTGAGAAAACTATTCAGAAAGAACGAAAGTTGGTCTAGTAAAAGCTGTCAATGTGGAAATTAGGATTTTGGAGGATTATTCAAAACATTTCAAGGTTGGCACAAGTCTGATGTTCGTCATAACCAACGTCGACCAATCGAAAGGCAGGATCGGCGTCCGACCCGTCAACTAACGCACTACCGGTTTTTTGACTGTTGATCTCCTGGTTTCAGATTACTCGTGAATTGGTATAACGGTTTTCTCATTTATGCAGTTTTAGTAATACGAATTTCTTTGGAACATATCTCAGTAATACGCTCAGGTGTCATAAACAGTCTATTCCTTGTCTCATGTACTGCTTTGGATGAACCTCGGCATGATGTACTGGGCGATATCTTCTCATCTCTTAAAGAGAGTGACAAATGACCTTTTTAGGCTAATGTTTCGGCTAGGATCGCCTTCGTCAGAGCCTGAAGGGATTCGTTAAGACATTTGGTCGGGTAGCCACAAATTGTTACGACCCTTTCGGGCTCTGAACAAGGCGATTCCCACCGAAACGTTAGCCTAATAAAGTTCGTTCATCAACTTCGTAAAGAGTTGAGAAGATATCGTCCAGCACCATCTATTTCTAGTGGTTAGTTGGTTGTGCGTTTCGTGGCTCACTCGTTTTGGACCCAATACGGCTCACAGGGACCGGGGTTACCCACTTATGTTGATAAATTTTTGAAATTAATGCACTACTGTTTCCCTTTAGAGAGGATCCCACCACCTTCAACGCCCCATTCACACCGCCCTCCCCCCTCCCCATCCACCAATGACTTTTTTCCACAGTATTTCACTCATCCGCCATCTGACGCAGTGACCTTTTTGCTAACATTGCAGTGTCCAGTGGAGATGGGATGTCTACAAATAAAACCATTGAAACAGCAAACTTTTCGAAATTTCTCCTAATTTTTACAGAAAAATTATTTTTTCCATAAAATTCTTCTACTTACCTGTTCTCTTCCACAAAAATACGACCTGCCACTTTTTGGATCTCATAAAAATATCGGCCGGGTCTTGGTCTGGGAAAGCACCTGTGAACCGTTGAGCTGAATGGGCCTAATACTGGAGCGTCCTCTAGGTCTAGGCCTGGAACGGGCAGGAACTTCCGCGAAAATGAAGTTGCTCACGCACCCGGAGTCTCTCCTCTTCCGCCTAGGGCTTAGTTCCAATATTGACCGAAGAAGAAGTTTTACGTCCTCAATGAATTACCATCACAATGACCCCCCTATCTTGCGATAGCGCTCTGAATTCGAACGACATCGCTCTATGGTCTTCTAGTAGCACCCTCACTGTGCTGCTTTCTCGTCACAGAGCTTATTTGTGAGCGTTTCTATTAACGGCCCACCAAGCGCAGAGTCAACAATTAATAAAATCGAGTCTACCAGATGTGAATGTCCTAATTACTCGTAATTTGTTTAATATTTTATTGAATAAAGCGTTTTAACTCTATAGCAACGATGTCTAGCCCTTCTTAAAGGTATCGTGCACGGAAACCGTAAGCTTCTGTTTTACCTATAAATTGATAGCTTTAGGGTCATTCTTCATTATAACAAGGAAAAAACATGAAAAGTGTGTTCGTCTCGGTAAACAATCCAAAGAACTATAGAAAGCTGTTACTCGTTCTAATTCCCACCGTTGAACTGTCACAAATGGCGGTGACAATTTGTTCCTTGGATTCTTATCACCGAGCCATCGTTCAAGGGATGCGAGACAAGAGTCCCCCTGAGGTCGCCGCGCAAGCGAAAGTAGGTCACCGCACGCGGCGGCTACCGGTCCTTACAAGTTGGAACGTGGCAATTTGCTAGGACTAAGCAAAAACAAATGCAGAAATGGGGACTACACAGACGGAACAAAAAAGTGTTGTATCGATCGTAGAGAGGCGGGTCCTAAACTTGGCCAATTGCCATGTTTCAAACTGCAAAAACGCCGGCGACGTCGCGCGCGCGGTGACCTAGTTTTAGCGCGGCGGTCGAGGGGGACTCTTGACCGTCTCCCTCGTTCAAGTGCCCTCTCCTATGACAGCAACATTTCTCACTTCTACTGCATCATAATCTATTGCATCGAAACAAAAGGTTAAACACCTTTACCCGCTCAACACTGATTAGAATTCTTCATTACGGCACGTCACCTTACACAGGATTGCATCCATCGCGTACTTCCTCCCATGAGCCATGGGTATGAGTCCGAGGAGCGCCTTTGGTGGTCCGGCCGCTTGCCCATGAGTATGATACGCTCCGCGCGTTTTTCAAGGGGCTTTAGTCTGTGTTGTTGGGTTTTTATGCATTAATTTATATCACTCCATGATAGCCTGGTGCACTGTGCGTCGACGCTACGATATGAGTTGGGTGACCACTGGTGTTTTGGGGCTGCGGGTCGGGGGTGGGAGGCATTTTGGGGGGTCTCAGATCTATACTAGTGGACAGTATGTGATGGGGGGGGCCGGACGAACCAGCGTTAGAAGGGGTGGGGGGGGGGGGGGCCGTCGCACTATTGGATTGGACGCGTCGGTTGCTCTGATCGAATTATGCATTATGCGGTCAAACATTTTCTCGTGCGACATCTTGTTTGTAGCGGATGATGCGATTCCCTGCCCATGATACTGGGAGCATTTTGTAGGGCCATTCGTTTGATTTATCATCGGTGGGACGACCGTTCAGAGACCTAACACTTGCTCACCCGGGGTTCATGTCATGAAGGTTGAAATATTTCCAGGGAATTCGTCCACATATGTTTCATGTATACGAGCCATATATCTGCGGTAAGATGTGTTATAATTTCTAGCTCAGTAGCACACGTGGTGGCGGCCTTGGAAAACGCAATACCAAGTGCACTTTTTGATACGCTTGACGCTGTTCGATGCCACATGTGCTGCTAAGTCCGCAATTACGGGACTTCTTGCCGCGAAAATGGATATCTCTTCTTTCTTCATGAGTTGTAATCGCTCACGCTCCTGCTTACGGTGGTTGAACTCATGGATTGACATTGCTTAGGAGTATCTGATAACAAGTAGTAAGCACAGAAGCCGATGTCAGACTTTGCGAATCGTTAGCTAGTAATCGTTAATCGCTCGATTCGCAAAGTCTGACATAGGCCAGACCATTCGCGATCGCGCGTTGTCTACACATTGCACCGTTGCGAGGGAACGTGGACACAGAAAGGTCGCACAGCTTCTTGGACCAATATTTATTTCAAGAAACCGTACATCACCGAGGTAGAAAAATCCATTTACATGCAAAAAAAATCGGAGAGTAAACATTTCAAGCAGTTTTGAGTTAAAAGTGATCGATATTTGCCTCTAACACCATCCATGATGGTGATGATGATGGTGATGGTGCGGGTAGCAGTCTTCGTATATCACGACCTGAAAGCAAGTAAACCACATCTAGAAGATTCATGGTTATTTATTCGTGAAGATTTCAATTTTTGGAAGGCAAGCAAGCCAGCTGTGAAGACAGCACTAGATATGGTTGATTTTTGACTACGGTAGAATAGCAATGTACGCATGACGTCACGAGACGCTACCAACACTGATTGGAGATTGGAGACTAACCAGGAAGGTCTTTCAGGGCGTGACAAGCTTTTTGAAAACGGTCTTTTGCATGATATAGGGGCAGGGAACCACAGAACCATGTTTAATTTTTCCTGAACGGCCCTCTGAATACCAGAAAAGGGGGTCCCTAGTTCGATTCCTCGTGGTGACAAATTTTTGCATTTCGAGTTGACGTGCCAAAATTCGCGCAAAATGGAGTTAGAACCAACCAGAACAAT